CCTGGTAAAAGATCTGAGCTGGTAAAACAAAAATCCTCATCAGCAGGCTTTTTTGAAAGTGGGGGGGACACAGCTGCCAATCACAAATTTTGCTGGGGACATGTCCCCGGTTAAACTGACGCCTATGCCTAGAGACCAAGAGACCAGGAGAGGGAAACGAGACAATGCTGACACAAACACTGGACCGACAACACATTGTGACGCAGACAGGGTTATATACACAGACGGAAACAATCAGGGAAGCAGGTGACAGGTGTGTGGGGAGTGAGATCAGAAGGGATTAGGTGAGACTAATTAACTAAGTGGGTAAAACTGACTAGGTAAAATTAATCTACAGAGAGCTAAAGATAAATGAACTCCTAAACCTGAAAACTAGACACCAGTAGAAAAACACTAACAGGGATGGGATAACTAAATCTGAAATCACTAAGGGGGAACCTGAGGGAAACCTGGAGGGAGCTGGAGACCTAAAGGGGCACAGAAACCTAATGGGAAAACCTGAGGAGAAAACCTGGAGTGGGCTGGGGAACACAAGGAGACACATATGGGGTACGCAGGACACAGAACATGACAGTTTTGTTTAGTGCTGTGAAAATAACGCGTTAATTTAGTTAATTAATGTGAAATGTTTACTGCATTAAAAAAATCTAACGTAATTAATGCAGTTTTTTTAAATTTTACGTAATCCGACACCTCAAACTCGTGAGTTGCTCTGAAGGAGGGGGCAGCATTGTGCTATGCTGGTGTCCGGGGCGCCGTAAAGCGGTGAAAGATTAGGAAGATTCTAAGGGCCTACAGCTGTCAGGGGCCCAAAAAAGTTTCAAAGTCGAAAAAAAAATGTTTAAAAATCACAAATACTTTACTTTGCAGTATTTTTTCTAATTTAAGACATTAGAACAATCTTTTAGTCTTTATGAAATGTATATTTATTCAGAGGTCCCTACTTTATTTTGACTAATTAATTTAATCTTAGAATAAACACACACATTTTAAGGGAGTAAAAGGGAAAAGGAGATTAACACCTTTCAGCATGTGCATTTCCTGCTTTTTCTAGCAGTGATATTGCTAATTCTGTTGAAGGAAATTCACCATTTAATGAGAGACAGTTGGTGAAATGATATGTAAATAAGTAAGAATGCATGTAGACCTACATAATTAAGCAAAACTGAAACACTAAGTATATATATTATATTTTTTTTTCTCCCTTCGAATCTGGGAGGGTGGAACCCCAGCTCCAGCTATGGACGAGCCCCCAGGGGGCCCAACTTGATATTTTTTCATGGGGCCCAAAATCTCTGGCAGCCCCCTTGCTGGTGTCTGACCTGCTGGAAATGATTAGAAGCAGCAGCAGCAAAAAAAAGAGAAGGAGACAAAAAGCTTGCTAGCATGCTATCTTGCTAGCATGGACAATGCTGTCCGTGGAGCGCTGTCTAGATCGGTACAAAGCAGAGCCCAAACTGGGTATTGGAGACTTTCCATTACAGTGGTGGTTGAAAAGAGAAGAAGCACATTCCAGACTGGCACCTGTTGCATGCAAGTACCTGTCAACCCCTGCAACCACAGTGCCTTGTGAGCGATGAAAATGTCCGGTTTTGCAGGAGCGGGGATCGAATTATGGGAGAGCTGGATATCCTACACATCCAGGGAGAGCCGGGAAAAAGGTTTCTACACAGAGAGCGGCACAGAGATCGGCAGAGAGCTGATGGTGCGCTCCAGGCAGCTGCGTCCTGCGCACGGTCCATTCTCAAAGTGGCGCAACCAAAAAACTATAATGAACACACGATGTTATGTTCATGTCCGCTCAGATTCTCTACTTTCTGTCTTATTTGTGCCTGAAGCGCTCTGCTACTGCGGAGCTCATCACATGTGCTGCGGTGATTTCACCTCACTGACACAGCATCGAAACGTGCACTCCGCTTTGCGGTCAGGAGATCCCTTTGATCTGCTAAAAAGTTAACTGATGAGGTGACAATGTAAGAAGAAGAAGAAAAGATGTTTTCTTATAGCGCCTCTCAAGATAAAAATCACGAGGCGCTTCACAAAAACAAAAAATGTAAAAATACAAAAAATAATTTAGAAAATGGTTATATACATATATATATATATATATATATATATATATATATATATATATATATATATATATATATATATACATAATGAGCAAAAAAATAGACAATTGTGATAAAAATGTAAAGAAAGAGAGGGAGTGAATAGGAAAGAGGGAAATCAGTGGATCCTGAGGAAGGTGGAATAGGTGGGGAGAGCTGAATAAAGAGAGGGTGGTGAAAAAGGTCATACAAAAGCCAGCTTGAACAAGTGAGTTTTCAGCTGCTATTTAAAGGAGACCACTGAGTCTACTGATCTCAGGCTCAGGGGGAGAGAGTTCCAGATTCTAGGGGGCACAGCAGTCTAGGGGCCACAGTAAGAATCCAGGCAGCAGATTTTCTGGAGACTTTAGAGGAGATGCAGGAAGATGAGAGACAGACAGGACAGGAAAATAGTTAAATGAAAATGAGAAAACAAAACAAAGTGTTGAAAAGTAAAATGCAGGTAGATTTATCTCCACTACGCATTTTACTTGTATAAAACAATAAGTTATACACATGTAATATTTATACATTTGATACAATTCAGATCACCTTCAAAACTCTGTCACACACCCAGGACCATTTCAAGGCATTCTGGGAGCCAAGAACACCCCCCACCCCTGTAACTGGGCTCCCCAGAAGCCTCTGTGTAATCCAAACCCTGTCCAGGAGTATTAGTTATACAGTGTTTGTAAAAGCCCCTCAGACATTACTGAATGTTCTAATATTATCAGATGAAAAACTAAATGATCAGACATGTTGTCTCATCTGCTTCTTTTCTAAACTTGCAAAAAGTAACAAAACCGTTTGAAAGCCACTATTTGTGGATTCTCTGAAAGTTTCCATGGAGTGTGTGACAACTTATTTTTTCATTGAGAAATATAAAGTTGGAAAAAAGTGTAAGAGCAGCCAGGCTAATGATCAGATAAATTGAGATTAATCATAATTAATTACAGAAAATTGTGCGATTAATTAGTTAATTTTTTGATCGACTGACAGCCCTAGTTTTGTTATGTTAGGTTATGTTTTTGTCACGATGTAAGCCAGGAGGAGGTTAGGATCCAAGATGCAGAACCAGGATGACACAAGGCAGGAGGAAAATTGTGCGATTAATTAGTTCATTAGTTTTAATCAACTGACAGCCCTAGTTTTGTCATGTCATGTTATGTTTCATTTTGGTTTGTCATCTTATTAATGTCATACTAATATGCTTTATTGCCCGTGAGGATATAAAGTTGCTGTTGCTTCGTTTATGGCTTCCATGAGGAATAATTAATATCTGCTGACTTGTGTTCTTCCTGAGGAGTATGCGAGACTATTCTTCGGAGTGGGGTTCGTACCTCACCATTGATGGCTGTTCCCTTGGGATCGCATCTTGTTCTGTTGTCAAGATTCTTCATAACTTGGGTTTGTTCAACGACCAAGTGGTCTCTTGAAGGACCACATTGACCTTGAAAAGGGGGGATATGTAACGTTATGAAGTTATGATTTTCAGCTCCTAAACGCTGCCCCTGTACACATTTACACCCGTGTAGAAAACGCCAAGGTCGTCTGATCCTCAGACTGTTTACATTCCAGAAGAAGGAAGAAGAACGCTTTTACTTAATCAAAGTACTTTATTTGTGATTAAAAATTAAGCAAAACATATGTTGATCAATAATAATCAAGTGAATGATCTGTGAAATAAAGATGTCATGATTTATGTGTTTAATGAGTAAACAGGACGACATGCACAGACAGACTGACACTCATCCCCATGGCAACGCATGACACATTGCTTCAACCAATCAGAGCCTTCGGCTGCCGCAAGAGAATCTGGCTTGTTGACTTAAAGTGTCCAATCCGCTTTACTAAAACTTATCAACAATTCAGAGATATAAAACAAGGCAACGCCATTTTAAGCTCAGTTCCATTTTGACTTCAGTTCTATTCACCGTCATCCCAAAGAGAAGCACAGCCTGGCCAGATGTGTTTTCTTCTTTAAACTAAGAACTGTGAAGTTGGAGATTTTCGTCGTTTAACAACCAGACGACATCCTTTCAAAATAAGAGCACCTGCTGACGCTGCCGATTGTTACCTGGGTCGACCCTTCAGACGGGCTTTGAAACGCTGCGACCGCTGTTTCGACCAGCTCCAGCGCACATCCGAGGTCTTCAGACCTGGCATTTCCTGATCTACCTGGGAGGCCCCCACTGGGTACTTACACGGCAAAATAGCAGCTCATGTCATCACTTTACAAGCCTCGTGATATCTAGTCATAACAATCAAAGACTACCAGATTCAATGACGTCAGCCTAAGGAGTCTGAACCAACCACACACACACACACACACACACACACACACACATCGAACATCACATTCATTTCCAAACAACACAGAGTTAGTCCTGATAGATTGTAGAATTTATAATAAAATTCTTAAACGATCCCAACTCTCTCTTTTCTTGTCTCAAGGTCAATACAGAGTGTTAAATGAACTCCCTGATGATAAAAACAACCTATTCTTCTGATTATAAAAACTAGATCTACTTACAGTATATTAAAATACAACTCTAGATCGTTACATCACTCTATTTCACTACACATATCATGTCAAATTATGTTATGTTTTGGTTTGTTATGTTTTGTTATGTTGTGTTATGTTATGTTTTGGTTTGTTGTTATTTATATCATGTCATGTTATGTTTCGTTTTGGTTTGTTATGTTGTGTTGTGTGTCGTTTGGTTTGGTTTGTTATGTTATTTATGTCATGTCATGTTATGTTGTGTTGTTATGTTATGTCATGTTATGTTTCATTTTGTTTTGTTGTGTTGTGTTTCGTTTGGTTTGTTATGTTATTTATGTCATGTCTTGTTTCATTTTGCTTTGTTATGTTTTGTTGTATTGTATTGTGTTTTGTTTGGTTGGTTATGTTATTTATGTCATATCAAGTCATGTTATGTTATGTTCATAAATGGCCTCAAGATGCTCCTGTCTTAGAGGTTGAAATAAATCAGCATCTCATTTTAACATTGGTTTGTTTCCTGAGCAGGATGGCTTTCTACAAGCTTGTGCACCTTATAAAGAAAATAAGTTGCTGTAACAGGAAAGTGAGAGACAACTGGCTGGCATGTAAATATATCAAGAGTCACAGCAGCCAAACTCAGATCTGGCCAGATTCGTGTCATTGGATTGTTTAAAACTGAAAGCACACACAGACTAGAGGAACTGGCTCTGGGACGCCAGCTAACATGAGAACTACTCTGACCCACTTTGTGAAGACAATGCTGTTTTTAAATATTAAGTAGAAATTGATCTACTTCAAGATTTATCAAAGTTCTTTGAGGGTTTTATGGAGCAACAGATTCCCACTTCTGTCTTGATTAAAGATTGGTTTCTGTTACTTGAAGAAAATCAAAATAAAAGTTAAATGTTTCTGTCTCCAAAATCTGAACCACCCAGCCAGCTAAGTGTGGACAAAATACTCATGGGTATATAGTCTCTAAAAGAAAGGTGTAACCCGTCATGTTCTGTGGTATTTTGACCCACGACATGCAGAATCAGAGACGGGAACGGAGAGGTAAGAAAATAATTTATTTGTAGAATGGAGAACTCAAAGCACTGCTCAAACTGATGCAGGATGTGCCAGGATGTTCTAAAGGAGAGACAAAGGTTAATATCCGTGAGAGATGATGGGATGGATAACTGAAGATTTTGGCTTACTGTCAGGAGGTGGCTAGAGGGCATGCGAAGGAGCACTAGTTGGTCTATGAAGATGGGTTACAAAGGGGTCTTGATGAAGACGAGGTCCAGAGTTCCCGTGTGGTGAGCTTGAAAGGGTAGGCGGAAAGGGCGTAGTGGAGAGCGTACAGCCAGGGGTTGGAGCTGAATGAAGTGGAGCTGATGAGAAGTTCTTGGAGATGGCTGGAGGAGATGGTTCCTTGAAGGGATAAAAGGAAGGATTAATCTTGGTCCTGGTCTGTTAGAAATCTGCTTCACGAAAACATTTCATAGTCTAAGTCTTAATCTTAGCTTCACAATAAATCTTTATTGTGAATAAATCTCTGGCTCGAACTACCCAGGTTGAGCAATCATCCGGCAAGAGTGTTGAGGAAGTCAGCTCCTTAAATACACCCTGGAGGATGATTGGAGATGAGCTGCAGCTGGCTGTTGCTCCTGCTCTCCAGACACGCCCACCTGCAGACTCAGACCTAAAAACATGGTGAGAATAAAAACAGCCAGTGACATAACCTGATATAGTGGTAAGACTTGCAGATGTGGTTTACTTATTTAATACATTTGCAGTGTTGTCTAGCGTAAATCAATGACTTATGAGTCATTAAGAAAAGAAAAGTTTTGATGCTCCTGTTCTGAGATGAAGTTTGCTGGTGCAGAGAAGGGCTGAAAACAGTAGGATTACTCATTATTATTATTATTATTAGTAGTAGTAGTAGTAGTAGTAGTAGTAGTAGTAGTAGTGGTAGTAGTATTTTCTCTTTTTTATTTCATTCAAAGTAAAAACAAATAAAACATATAAACAATAGGAAACACATAACAAAAAATCAAATTTGAACGAAAAGGAGCAAAATGAAGAAAAACATCTTATAATTTCTGCCCCCTTTTCCAGAAGAAATAATCAATTTATACAATTTCCATTTGTCAGGCACGCATACAGATTCATTTTAAACTTTTTCCTGTTCTAAATTCCAGTGCAATCATGGTCATTGATTTAATTTACATTTTCATAATTATTTAATACACTCAATTTGGTACATTTTTGAAAATATTAAATGACAGGGTTTTTCCCCCTTTTAAGGTTATTCCATAATTTTAACACCATTTACAGATATATTCCATTCCTTACTTTTAGTTCTAAATCTAGGTTTTTTAAACACATCAGTTTCTTTCAGCATGTAATTACTAGTTTTCTTTTCAAATATTGCCTGAATGTTTGTTGGCAGAGTACCTAAATTGGCTTTATACATGGTTTGTAAGATTTTCCGGTCTTTTAAATCATGAAATTTCAGTAATTCATATTTCATAAACAAAGGGTTCGATGGATCTCTACAGCCACTATAACTGATGATTCTCAGAGCTCTTTTAGGGTTGTGTATAGTTTTTGTATGTTGCTCCCCAGATTTCTACACAATAATTCAGGTATGGAACAATCAGTGAATTGCACAATGCCAGCAAACCAGAATTAGTCAGTAAAAACTTGACTTTATGTAATACTCCTAAGGATTTGGCAATTTTACCTTTTATGTAACTAATATGGGATATCCATGTCAAGTCTTCATCAATAAGAACTCTAAGAAATTTAGTTTCTTTTGCTCTTTGAATTTCAATCCCATCTATTTCCAATGACACATCACTGTTCTTTTTATCATTAAACAGTATAACATTTGTTTTATTAAGATTCTGTGTCAATCTGTTTATATCAAACCAGTTTTTAATTTTAATCAGTTCATCATTTATCAGTTTAGCCACCTCCTCAATATTTGATCCTGAGTAAAACAGTGTTGTATCATCTGCAAATAGAATGGTACCGAGTGTCTTAGATACATTTACCAAGTTGTTAATAAACAAAATGAACAGTTCTGGTCCGAGGAACGACCCTTGTGGCACTCCACAATTAATTTCACATAGTTTTGATTTATGGTCCTTTATCTGAACAAACTGTTTCCTTTTTTTAAATAAGTTTTAACCCATTGATGAGCCACACCTCTTATTCAATACTGACTTAATTTTCGAAGTAACCTTGAGTGATTAATGATGTAAAATGTTTTTTTAAATCAATTAAAACACTAACAAAGTCATTTTTATTGTCAATTGCTGTTGATATTTTATCCGTTAATTCCATTATTGCCATTGCTGTGGAATGTTCAGTTCTAAACCCATATTGTTTATTGATCACAACATGCCCTATAGGTAAAAAAAAAATTGTACGTCGCTTTGGGAAAAAGCGTCTGCTAAGCACATAAACATAAACATAAACATTGTTTAAAATATTATTTTTTTCGATGAATTTATCCAACCTTGATACATACTTTTTCCAATATTTTAGAAAACTGTGGAAGCAGTGACACCGGCCTGTAATTATTGAAACTATGTTTATCACCACTCTTGTACAAAGGAATGACTTTCACTGTTTTCATTGCGTCAGGAAAATTTCCAGTAGAAAGTGACAGATTACAAATGTAAGTGAATGGTTCAATGACAGATTTTATGATTATTTTAACAGTTATCATGTCCAGGTCCTGATAATCGGTTGATTGTTTGTTTCCACAGTTTTTTCTTTTACAATGTTTCGTATTTCTTCTTTATCTACTTTGTCAAGGACAATACTGTTGACAGTACTAATCATTGTGGTTAATTTATCTTCTATTATTGCTTTGTTTTCCATCAAACTCCTACCTACATTTACAAAAAAAAATCATTAAACTCATCAGTGATTTCTTCATCGTCATAAATATATTTTTTGTACTTGACAAAGTGATTTGGAATACTGGGTGTTTACGTTCTCTCTGTTAGTCACTGTTTAGTATTCCCCAAGTAGCTTTTGTGTTATTTTTATTCTGATTCAATAGATTACCATAATAATCTTTATTTTTTGCTTCCTAATTATTGTTAACAATTTATTTTTATATTTTTATATCTATCTTCTGCTTCCCTTGTTTACAATTTAAAAAAACTCCTATCTAAATTGTTCTTTTTAGCACACACATTCTTTAATCCCTTAGTCATCCAAGGATGATTTTCCCTTTTACCTGCAGACTTGATTAATTTGCAGTTAGCATTATATGACTTCAACAGTATTTTCATGAAGGATGTGTATGCAGCGTTGACATCACTGACATATACCTTCTTCCAATTTTGTTTATTAAGATCTTTGTTTATGGCTTTAACTGATTGATCTCTTCTGTAGTTCATGGTGATGTTTTGTTTTATGGAATGTTTGTATTTGAAGACTGCGAAAACAGGTAGGTGGTCACTAATATCCGTCATTAATATCCCTGTTTTCCTGACATCATCCTTATTGTTAGTGAATATATTATCAATGATTGTTGCAGTCCGAGATGTAATTCTAGTTGGCTTGTTTATCAAGGGGAAAAAATCTACACTATACAGTGAATCTGCAAAATCCTTAATCTGACCAGACTCATGTTATAAATTAATATTAAAGTCCCCACATAGAAATAATGTTTTGTATTTAATGTGATCAACCAATTCAATAATTTTTTTCATTAAATGTCCCAATACATGATCCTGGTGCTCTATAAACACAACTAATTAAAGTATTTTTAGCAGCTTCATTGCTGATTTCTACAGTTACAATTTCCATTACATTATCTTCCATCATTGTCATTTCCTTAACTAGTTTACATTTTAGATCTGATTTAATGTACAGGGCAACCCCACCACCTCTTTTATTTTTTCTATTTACAAAATAAAGTTCATACCCTTCCATTCGTACTTCATCCATCATATCACCTTTGAGCCAAGTCTCTGTTATAGCAATCACACTAAATTTGTTTTTGAATTTATTTAAATAATCTTTAATAATTAATAACTTAGGAAATAAGCTTCTACTATTAATGTGGATAAGTGACATTGTGTCCTTAGTCATTCTCCCACAGTTCAATTGTTCTTCTCCAATATAATCACAACTTGTGTTTAATTCATGTAAATTTCCATCTATTTTATTGTCAATATCATATATTTTATCATCTGTATCCATTTCAGTTGAGTGTTTTTGCCAGTTTGAATCAAGACCAATATCAAACCGAGTTATCCATGTTGTTTTTACAGTATCCAAAATAAGTTTGGAAGCATAAATTCTGATGATCTTAACCATAGTTTGTAAACTTGTTTTATATACTCATTTATCACTTGTGTTTTTCTAGTTCTGTTAGTTCCTTAATGATCAGAATCGTTGCCTGCTCCGGAGACCCATTCAGTTTAATGAATACCTTACAGTTTGAAGTCCATGTTAACTGTATTTTCTTTTGCTTTCTCAGAAGTCTCGCTTGCCTTGCAATGTCTGCATTTTTCTTGATAAGATGTTCATTTATATATACATGGGTTCCCTTCAGCTTCCTTCCTTGTTTAAGCAGTTCTTTCTTGTGTTTTCTGTTCATAAATCTGATAAGGATTGCAGGTTTTTGATTTTTATTTTTACGTGGAAGAGGACAACATCCCTCTATGTCCTTGGCCTCTAGATGTATCCCTTTGCTGCCAAGGGAGTCCATTACTTGCCTTTCCAAGTTGTTTAATTCTTGTTCAGGTGGTTCTCCACTCTCTGTAGCTGTTGCTCTTGCATAAGTTTGGTGTGTTGTTTCAAGTCCTGTCACTATTACATCATTTATTCTTGAATGTTGTTCCAGTTCTGACAATCTTTCTTCCAGTAAGGTGATTTTCCTGTCCTTTTCCTCGTTTTTTCTTCTTAAGACTTTAACCTCCTCCATTAATTCCATTATCGCTTTCTGTTGTTTAGAGACTGTTGTAATTTCTTCTGACATAAAGCTCAGTGATTTATGTATCTCTTCCAGTTCCTCCTCAGCCACATTGTTTCTTTTTGGAGGCATTCTTTCTGACTCACCCTGGTAGAGCCTGGTCTGGTTGCTGAAGCAGAACCTGGGCCTGGTAGCTGGAGCAGAACCCGTTGCTGGAACAGAGCCTGGTCTGGCTGCTGGAGCAACACCTGGGCTCATTATTAATGATATGCACACGCCTTGCTTCTTCTGATTGACTAACAGAGCACGTTCAGCCATGTTGCAAATTCACTATCTTCAGCACACTCTCAGCTCTCTCTCCTCACTGCCAAAATATTTTTAAAAGGTCTTCCTGTGGGTGGGCGTGAGCCAACATGGGTGAGGCTGTGAATGCAAATTCACAATGTGGCATCACAGTGTGAGGATTTTAAAACCCTAGCATTTTACCATTTGTTTTCTATCAGAAGCTAACACAGGAGATCGGAGTAGAAGACTGTTTCCGTGTTCAGCCTGCATGAAAAATGCATAAATAATAATTTTAAATGTATTTTTCAATCAACCACACCTTTAATTGCTTCATCCTCAGTATTCACAGGGAAATGGTGTCTATCTCCAGCAGTCAGCAGGAGAGAAATAAGGGACCCCATTGACAGGTCACCAGTCCATCAGAGGGACACTCAGAGTCAGAGACATTAACAACAGTCACACACTCACTCACACC